AGGGAGTGGGTGTGGGTGGGGGCACACTGCAGGGGTCACATCTGGGACTGGACAGTGCTTCAGAGCTGCCCCTCCTCGGCTGCCACCATGGGACACGGCCTCCCCTTGGGGCCTTGAAGACATCCAGCTACCTAGAGCCACCTGCCCTCACAAGTCTGTGAAAACATGCACCCCAGAAATGTGGCGGGCCACCAAGGAAAAGGCAGTCCATCCACCTCCTCTCATCCTCCAGGTGAAGCTGGGCTTAGTGGAGGGGCTTCAGTGCCCCATGTCCCTCCAGTGATTCTGTCTCCTGGCCAGCTGAGCCTTTCCCAGGAGTCACCACTTCTGCCACGCTGCTGCCCACTTTCCAGGGTGAAACATGACCCACACCTGCCCTCCTGTCAGGCAGCTGTCCAGGAAGCACAGACTTGAATCCGGAGCAGCTTCCCTTTCCCTCCTGGCATTAGGAAGCAGATCTTCACCCCTGCCTGGACTGACTATTTCCTGGTGGCAGCTCCTCCCAGTGGCATAGCACTTGTGGACAGCCAGGGGCCTCTCAGCCTCCAGCTGCAGGGTCAGTGCAGAGCAGCCTTGCTGTTCCCAGCTGCCCATGAAGTCTCAGCAAACCCCAAAGCTTGAGGAGTATGAGCCAAGAAAGCCTGGTGCTGGAGCTGAATGGCCATTTTAAACATTGAAGCCCAGGAGCAATTCACCATGGCAGTGGATTGCTGTTTAAACCTGCATCACAGGGAGTGGGATTTTTGAAGGGATCTGAATTTTTGATCAAGTCACAATGTTAGCCTTCTAGGCTTGTTTCCTTCTCTGGAAAGTGAGGTTGTAGGAAAGGGAGACTGACAACAAAGCCACCCCTTGGGGCTGACAGAAAGCTGCTAGGGACAGCGGAGGGGAAGCATCAAACCCATGTGCACTCAGCACTCTCAGTACAAGTGGCCTGGTGCAGACACTGAAAAGGACACCATTCCCTGCCATCATGAAGGTTATGGCTCTAGGGGCAACAGCCACTTGTCACAATCACACAGTTGTACAGTGACCAGCTGTCCTCAGCAGCCACGAGGCGCAAGTGAACTGCTGGGTAGAACTCATCCTGCTGAGGATCAGGAAGGCAGGCTTCCCCGAGCAGTGTGTGAACTGTGGAACGGGAATCTGCCAGGCAGGCTACATGACCCTCAGGTGCCAGCAAGCCGAGAGGGACCAGAGGACACGGCACACTTCCCTGGAGAATGCTCCTGAAGTCCTCTGGCTAAATGCCGAGCACTCCTGCTCTTCCTTTACAGGGAACAGGAAACAGAGCAGAGGAACATGTTACACATCCCTGGGACGTAATGTGCACAAACCAGAATGTGAAAAATTCCTGGAGACAAATGATCCAGTTTCTGGAAAAAAATATCTGGAGTGAAAAAAGAGGGAGAAGAAGCTCCTCGATGGGCCCCTGCAGACCCTGCTTCAGAAGAGCCAGCTGTGGAAACTGTGGCAAGTGGGGAATTTGAGCATTGAACGGCTACCATGGTATTCATCTTTGTAGCCACAAAGCTATTGTGGTTTGGTTCACAGAGAATCTCATCTCTCAGCAGTACCGAAATACTGACAAGTGAAGGAATTCGATGACTGAGTTCGCTTTGAAATCATGCAGGGGCTGGCAGGGAGCAAGAGGGCGAGGTGCTGTAAGCAGAAGTGGGGCAGGCATGCAGGGGGCTCCTTGCACCATGACTCCACTCTGTGCGTGATGCTTTGCATGAGGCTGTGACAGCATGCAACACAGATGGGGCACAACAGGGTAAAAGGGTCATCAGCACTGCCAGGCAGCATGGGAAGTTGCCAGAGAATCACACAAACAAGAGTGAAGAGGGCTCTTTCAAGGAGGGGCAAGTTCCCAAAGATCTGCTCTGTGGGCCATGAGGACAGCCCAGTGCCAAGGAGCTCAGATGTGGGCACCTACAGGGACAGGGGCAGGAGCTCGGGCATTGTGTGCCATGTTCTTTCACCAATGGCCTCCAGCTGGACTTAGTCCCTTAGCGGTGGCAGTGGTATTGACCTCTCCCTGTTTCCATTAACTAGAACCAAGGTTGCCAGCAAGTAGGATTTCTTACACCCTGTGAGAAGGAGCAGGAGACAGAGGAGGCTCAGAGAGAAGATGACTGAGGATGAGGATGGATGTGGCTACAGGAAGGAGCATCAGAGGAGCATGCAGGGGTGTCAGGAACAGTTCAGGGTGGGCTTGGAAGGCAGCAGGATGGGAGGCAGGGGCTCTGCAGTGCAGCACAGCAACTAGGGACCACACTGGGCTGGGGAACCAAGCCACCGGATGATACCTTAGCCACATCGGCAGGAAGGGCTGCTTACCAGAGCCAAGTAATAAGGGCAGTGTGGAGGACACGGGGTCACAGAGAAGGGTGGCCAGGGCTTCAAAGAGAAGACCATCCCCACAAGTGGCACCCTTTGGGGGGTCAGCAGTCTCCCAGATGGCCCAGGAACGGTGTGGATGAGTGCACACTGTTCTGTCTCCCAGGGCACCCTCTGCACACAGCAGTCCGAGATAGCACTAGCGACAGTCACGCACCCTCCTCTCTAATCATCACTCCACATCTCCACTTAAGAACTGCTGTTAATGGCTGTTTGGACAGAGAGAGCAGAGAGGTGCCAGGCTGCAGAGCAGCAATGAGAAGAAAATAGGACTTTTACAGAGACCACAATTAGGCTTCTCTTATGGAGAACAGCGGCGGCCAATTTTAATGCAAGTCTCAGTCAATATTTTTAAAAGCTGTCATTTGCTTGGCTTCAGGCTGCATGTGTCCTCACAGGAGAAGCCTCTTCTTGTCAGAATCCCACTCCAGGCCAGGCTGAGAAAAAGGCTGCTAGAAACACCAGAGTCAGAACCTTCCATACATGGTGGAGGAGCAGGACAGGAAGCATCCTGCACTGTGATGGTGGCAGCTCACACAAAGACACTGCAAGCTGCAGTGTTGACACAGTCACTTCAGGGTCTGCACTCCACACTGCTGCACTGAGGATGGCGCCAACTGCAAACCAGACTCTTCTGAGGACAAAGCAAACGACCATGGCTAGGCTGCTGGAAGTGGTGAGGTAAGGCAAGGGAGGCATGACATTGCTCCTACTCAATTTTCCAAAGCACAACTGGGGCAGAACCTGTTCTGTGAGGAAGTTCCTCATGCTTCATCTTCACACAAGAGGTCAAACCTAGATCCCTATCTTTAACCTGGAAAAAACCTAATTCAAAATGGAGCAAAGACCTGAAGCTTTGACTCTGTTAGAAAAAAACATAGGGGAAACACTTGAAACTGGAGGAATAGGCACAAACTCCCTGACTAGGATTCCAGTAGCTCAGGAAATAATAGCAACAACCAACAGATGGACTACATCAAACTAAAGTTTCCAGAAAAAAAACTAACGAAGTGAAACACTCTACAGAGTAGGAGAAAACCACTGCCAGCACTGTTGCACCAGATAAATATCTAAATCTCTATAAAGAACAATGGAACGGCCCAGTCAAGAGATGGCAAGTGAACTGCACAGATATTTCTCAGAAGTACAAATGGCCAATGAACGTAGGGAAAATGTATAACATCCTTAGCCTCAGGGAAATGCAAATAAAAACGAACTGAGATTCCGTCTCACCCTAGTCAGAATGGCTGGTATCAAAGATTATAAAAAACCACATATGCTGCTATAAATGGGGAAAAGAAGGAACTCTTTTACACTGCTGGTGGGAATGTAAATTAGTAGAAACCCTGTTTCCACAAAAAAACTAAACAGAGCTACTGTGTGATCCAGCCACAGCACTCCTTGGTGAACACCCAAAGAAATTAAAGTCAGCATGGTATAAGGTAGTGATTGGAAACCTTTTAGAGACCGAGTGGCCAAACTGCAACCCCAAACCCTCTTATTTATTGCCAAGTGCCAACACTGCAATTGAACCTGAGGTTTTTGTTCAGAGAAAACAACTGTTATCTGATGCCCAGCTACTGAGGCAACTCGGCTCACATGCCAACAGAGAGGGCTCTGTATAACCACGGCAGCGCATGTGCCACAGGTGTGCCACCACTGGTATAGGGGTATTTGCTTATCTGTGTTTACTGTAGCACACTTCACAACAGCCAAGATACAGAACCAGCCTAGGTGTCCATCAATAGATGAATAGATAAGGAAAATGTGATACACATACACAGTGGAGTATTACTAAGCCAGAAAGAACTTATGGATGGATCGAGAGACCATAATGTTGAGTGAAAAAAGCCAGACTCAAAAAGAAAGGTATCTCATGTTCTCCCTGATGTGAGGGATCCAAAACAAATGACATGGAAAGTAGAGGGGCACTATCAGAGAAGAGGAAAGGAACAGGGGGAGGGGATGGGGGATGGACGTGACCAAATATATTATACTCATTGAACCCCAAAACGTTATAAAGTCAGTAAGCACTAATAAAAGCGAAAATCTTTTTAAATGTTAGCTTCATATTTTGAGGTAACATCCAGTGCTGTACCAAATGATAGAGCAGCTATTAGCTATAGCTGGCTCTGGAGTGCTTGAAATACGACCAACCTGAATTGAGGTGTGCTGTGTGTATAAAATACTTCCTGGCTTTCTAAGCATGAAAAATAATGTACAATGTGCACTAATTTTAAATATTGATTATATGTTAAAATTGTAATTTTTAAAAATAAAATTATTACTAAGATTTTTAAAACTTGTGCATTCAAGACATCTGGGGAGGACTGAGGAGAGGTGAGGACTCATGCAGATGGAGTGTATTTCTCCCTCAGCTGGCTCTGTGTCCAGGGGAGTCAAGACCACCCCTTGCCCATTATCCACATGGAGGGGACCAGAGGTCCTACAGTCCCTCCACTGCACAGTGGCCTTCCTGCTAGACCCTCCTTCCATGCAGGACAAACTCTCAATGTGGTCAGAAAGCAACAAAAGCAGCACCAGGTATCCGGGCCAGCAAATACACGCGAACCCGGGATGGGGGCTGACCGACTCACCATTGCCTGTGCTCAGGGGCTGCTGGGTGTCTCCTGGAGCTGAAAGCCATTTCTGGGGGGGTGCCAGTGCAGAGAGGGGCCTCGGCGCTCTTGAGGGGCTGCGCAGAATGTACCTCGGCCCTGGGTCACCCTCTCGGGCTAATGCTGGAGGCATTCGAACAGTGTAGGTGCCAAGAGCCTCCATCAGGTGCTGTCTGTCCACGCTGCTGTCTGCCTTTGGGCTGAGCTGGTCTGGCTGGAGCTGACTGATGGTCCTCAGTGGGAAGGCCTTGGGGTTCTGAGCCCGGGTCTCTGGAGGGTAGGTCAATGCTGACTTGTGGGCCACATAGCTCAAGATGTTCTCAGGGAAGGGCAACTCACCCTGAGGGGCAGAAGAACACAACAGTGAGAGCTGAATCATTACCACCAATACCCACACAGGATGGAACTGGGTTCAGTGTTTAAGGCGCTGGACAGCACCAGATGTCAATGAGCCATTAGCCCAAGGCCTCTACTGGACCAGCCAAGTTCCATACTTTATAGTCACTGCTGCATTGGTTTTAATAACAGCTTTATGGATAGAAGACACACACCAGTCAGTGGGTTTTCCTGTACTCAAGAGTTGTGTGAACATCACTCCAAATACCTCCACAACATTCTCATTGCCCCTAACAAAAATAAATCCTGTACACATTTCCATTTCCCTCCCAGCCCAGGTAATCACCAGTCTGCTTCTTGTCTCTACGGCTGTGCTTGTGTTGTGGATATTTCACATTCCATAATCTTACAGTGGCCTTCCCGGTCTGGCTTCTTCCACAGCTCATGCTCCGGGTACACACACATTGCAGCATGTGTCAGGATGCTCTTCCTTTCTAAGGCTGAATACTGGGCTTATGTGTGTACACATCACATTCTATTTATTTTATTATTTTTTGGTATTAAATTCTTTTAATGGTACATTGTAGGTATACAACACAATTACATTTCTCATTGGGAACTGGACCTTTACATGATGCATCGTGGTTCTTATTTTTTCCCCATTCCTAGCCCTCCCTTCATGCCCTCCACCCTTCCCTATTTACAAAGACTTTATTCCCATTTTTTCCATTTCTCATCATTTTTCCTTTC